CGCTTTCCCGAGCCCTAGAGGCTGGATCGCCTCCCCTCTCCTTCCAATTCACCTGCTTTTCACGCCAACAGAAACGCCCTTCCAGCTCCAGTGCTGGGCGGTCATTTCCCAGCCAGGCTTTTGAACACTAAATTGCAAACTCCGCTGCACCAATCGCATCTGGATCTGTCTCTGAGAATTCAATAAACAAGCTGTATTAACTCCAACCAGAATTTATCTCGCAGAGTGATGGAATTCGTCTTTTTTTTTTTTTTCTTCTTCTGCTTCTTTTTCCCCCAAGGCCTCATATTCACCACTCAAAATTTAGCAGCCTGCCTTTGATAAATTACTCAAAGTAATCCCTGCAACAGCTAAGTCTGACTGGTTGACGTTGTGTTAGAAGTCTTCATAGCGGTATCTGTCTATAAAATATTCACTTGCGGACTACAAAGGGTGGATCATTTTTAATGACAAGATTCAGAACCGGAGGATGAAGGGAAAAGATTAATATCCGTGAATTCAAATAATTTAATTTCAAATACCGAACTTAGAACATTATATCCCACTAGTTTAAACAGTGATGCTGATAAAATAGCAGAGTCTCAGAAGAATGAAGAGGCCAGAAGAATAGAGTTTCGGGGAATGTTGGAAATGAGCATTAATACAAACTTTACAGGAACTTTTTTTCTCTTTTTTTTTTTTTCTTTTTTTTTTTTTTTTTTAATTCTACACCTTTCTGCTCTCTGTCTTCTGGGATAATCAGTATTCTATCAGAGCAAAAATGTATATGATATTACGTGTGTATATCTACATACGCAGGGAGGGAGATTTTCTTTTCTCAAGAGATAGGTGGAGAAATCTATTTAGATAGCAGATTTTAATTTCAATGGGTAATTTGAGCTTGTGCAATCAAAGTTATCAATTTCTGTCCTTTTTGTTAAGATTTCTTAGTTAAATGTGTTTGTTATATCTACCCCGAGGAGAAGCAACTTGAAAGTGTAGCTTTTGAGTCATCTTATAAATACATCCCTGAGGCTGCGGTTCTTGCCGCTTTAAGCAGTTTTCATTAAAGCAGCCAGCTGCCTCTTTGTGTAGATTGGATTTTTTTAAAGCAATCACTTGTGAAGCCCCGGCCTCAGTTTTGTCTCTCCGCAGGCCCTTAAAGTTGAAGTTTCATTCATGTCTTGGGTCTCTCCGCCGAATCAGACTCCTTGGAGCAACACTGGAAAGAGCCACACGAAAGCGCAGGCTTGAATACCTCATAGAGAAAGGTTAAAAAGGAAGCAGAGATCAAAACAATCCCATCTCACAAAAGGTGCATTAAATGCGCCCCAGCAATAAGCACAAATCTTCCAAGTTGGCCTTTAAAGCGAGCACCAGGAGCCTCACGTTTATTGCACCCAGCAATTCTCTGAGCGACTCGCCGCGTCTTTGCACTCCTGGCACATTTCCTCCTAAAACAACATCTAATGGGAAGATAATAGAGACGCGGAAAGGAGGCGCGGGGATTTCTCCCCCTCCTCCTTTCCTTTTAGCTGCGTGAGTCTATCTCAAGGTTTGGAGACCAGAGTTCAAAAAAAAAAAAAAAAAGCTTTTCACCTCTAAACACGACAGGCATATGCAAACACATATTCCCCACCCTACAACCGCACTCATCCAAACGCAGGCAGGAGCTTGCGTTTGGGGAGTGCTCCCCCGGCCCCAGGAGCCGGGGAGGCTGACGACCGGCGGCTGGAAGCCGAGGCTCGCTGGGAACGAGCTGTGCTCTTGTTTTGCTACTGGAAATGCAGCTTTCTCTCCGGCACGCACGGAGTTGAAACACCAGGGAGCCCAACATCTCGTCAGCCGGAGCCCGCCGCGGCAGCTGGGGGCGGGTGGTGGGCAGGAGACCCCCAAGTGGGGAGATGGGGAGGCTGGCAGGGGGCGGCCGGAGGGCTCCCGCAACCCGCCCGCGTCCTTCTGCATGCACCTGATGTGTATGCAGCACCTCGCCTCCCAGGCAGGAGTCAGCTCCAGTTAAGTGGCGCTCTATGTATTTTATAGCGAATATTCTCGAGTAGCTGCACTGCAATGAAGGAGATATCAAGGAGGCCTGTCAGTTCAAAGCTTTTGGGGTTGTTTGAAAATCTTCGTCACGTCAAAGTAAGCAGCCCTAGTATTTGAACAGCTGCTTTGAACAGTGAAAAGGGCTGAGCTGAATCAAAACACTGCAGTGTCTACCCAAGACACCGCATCACCTTCAACCTGCTTTTATACGAGCAGAGAAAAGGAAAGAAAGGCTGGTGAGACCTTTAATCCCGTGGGGTCAGTTCCACCAGAAAGGGGCCACATGACTGTCTCTTTTACATCCCGAGCGGCCCGGACCTGAGCGGTGGCCGGAGCCAGAGCCCGCGGCGGGCAGCGGCGCGGCGGCAAGAGCGGCGGTCGGGCGCTCTCTTCCCGCTCCCCGGCGCTCCGCTCCACGGGGGGAGACGGGAGCGGAGGATGCTTAAGGAGCGGTATTAATGACAGAGCTAACAATGATGGGGAGGACGAGGAGGTGGAGTCTGCGGCGGCTCTGAATGCACCGGCCGCGCTCCTCGCTGCTCCCAGCTGCGTCTCCATAGGCGTGCGCTCCGCCGGGGAGGGGACAGGAGGGACGGCGGGGGGTTCTGCCGGGGGGCCGGGGTTTTGTCCGCCTCCTAAGGCCGTAGCGCTACTTCGGTAACTGTGGTTGCCGTTAGCCCGTGAGATCCGCCGCTGAGGCGGTGGGGGTGAGAGGCACGCAGGTCTCTGACCGTAGGCATCACCTGCCAGGAGGCCAGGCGGGACAGAGGGCCAGGGAGGAAGGAAGGGGGGGTCAGGAAACGCACGACTGGGGCAAGGCTGGAGGGGTTTTCCCCTCAGAAAAAAAAAGTATTGGTTGGATCTCGCTGACACCCGTGTCCCGTCTCCTCGTCGCGGTGAGCCGCGGGAAGAGCGGTGCCGCCGGCACTCCACGGGGACCGGCGGTGCGTGGGACGCGCACACGCCGTGGGGCTGGGGCACAAGGGAGGTCTCTCGGACGACCACCGGGGTAGGTCCTTGCTGGGGGAGCACCGCACGCTGAAGGCACCCACGTGAAAACCTCGCTCTGAAAATGACGCGTGGCGTGGCCCCTCGTGTCTCGTCCACGCACGAACTTTTGGCAGCAGACCTGGAGGCGGGCTTGCAGGAAAGCCGCCCCTGGCAGAGCCCTGGCGGCCCCGGGAGCGAGGCGGGAGGGCTGGCTCAGACGCGGAGAGCGGGGCGGCTCTTCCAGGACGGTCCCCGCGATGCCTTGGCAAAAGCCTGCTGTGGACTTGCCCTGTTGTTTTGTTTCAACTCACTGGTCTACACCTAATTGGGAGGAGAGAGACGAGAAAATGAGCATCAAATTATAAAATTCCTGGGTGCCCAGTTGTTTACACACGGGAAACAAAAGGCAGAGCTTCACTTCAGAGGCACTGACTTCCTTCTCCGCGACACTCGCAGAACAGTCAGTATTGTTCTTCCTTTCGCCTGCACCTCGAATAAAGCGGGGGCGGGGGGGTGGGGGTAAACCCTTAGGAAGAATCCTCACTCTTTCATGGACAAAGTTTGTGCCCCTCTCCTCCTCTCCTCCCTCCTTCCTTTTCCTCCCCACCCCCCGGCAGAAGGAGCTCTTGATACGCCGCTAAACTAACGAAACGAGGTAACTCCTGCTGCGCCCCTTGTCTCAGGGCACTGGATATCCTGTTTATGCTGCCGCTGTGTATATGTTTATGTGCAGGAGCCCATCCCCCCGCTCCTCCACACCCCCACGCAGGGGAATATTTCCAGGCAAGGAGCCTTTCCAGTGCTCACGTTAAATACGATGATTTATAAACAACTCGCAGAAGAAAGCTGTTTCTTGTTAGTAGTAATAAATTCCCCGGTCCGCCCTATTGTGTTATTTCGATGAAGATAGCGGGAGCCTGAGACGCGCACCTACCCCCGTGAGCAGTTTATTTTCGAGACAAAGCTATGGCTTTCAGCTCAAAAATGGGCAGCGAACTCTTTTCGCGGCGGCCAGCCGGGCGCTGCTCATTCCTAGTAAATCCGGATCCAGTTCCAGGGTCTCTTTGCTTCCTGTCCGGGCCGCAACTTCTTTTTTTTTTTTTTTTTTTTTTTTTTTTTTTTTTTTTCTTTTTTTTCTTTTTTTTTTTCCCCCTATCCCCTTCTTTTTTTCCTAATTTTTTTTTCCTTTTTCCACCACTCCCTCACACCCAATCTTCCGCACCAACGCAGAGTCGCCAGCGCCGCCGAGGCGGTCACGCAGACATCCCGTCCCGGAGGGACGGGACAAGCAGAACAATACCCCCCACCGCAGTCCCCGAGGTGCGAAGCCTCGACATCACCGGAGAAGCGGGGCGCTCCGGCGAGCGCTGGGTGCCGGGAGGGCAGGGCCGGCGGGCAGGGAGCGGGCCGCCCTGTCCCGGCTCCCCGCCCCCGGGGGCGCGGCGCTTCCCGGCCCTCCGGAGGGGCTGGCTGCGAGGCGGTGCTGAGAAAGTTGGGGGCGGGAAGGCGGGTACCCCCCCGCATCCGCACCGCCAGCTCCGGGGCGGCACGGCCGCGCTCCGCGCAGAGACCCGCGGTGGGGTGAGAGCAACAGGAGCCGGCGGGCGGACCGGCGGCGGCGGCAGCGGCGGCGGCATCCTCCCGCCGGCAGGGCGGGCGGGGCGGGGCGGGGCGAGGCCGTGCGGCGCGCCCCCTGCCCTGCCCTCGGTGCGCTCGCCTCCGGCCCCGCTCCCCGCGCTCCGTTCCCCCTCGGAGTTGGGCTCCGGGGGGCGTGGCCGGGGGCGTGGCCGGGGGCGTGGCCGCGCGGGCGGGCCGCGCCAATGGCGCGCGGCGGCGGCGGCGTTCGGCGGGAGCGGCGCGTCCGTCAGGGCGCGGGGAGCCAATGGCGCGCGGCGGCGGGGCGGGGCGGCCGCGCGTGCCTTCGCAGTGGGCCCCGCCGCGCGGGCCGGGGGGGCGCGGGCGCCGCGCGGCGCCCGAGGCGAAAAAGTAGCTGTCAAATGCGCGGCGCCTTTAACCGGCGCGATCAGTGCGGCTCGGCGAGTCATGGCGACCGCAGCCTCCAACCACTACAGCCTGCTCGCCTCCGGCTCCCCCATGGTGCACGCCGAGCCGCCCGGCGGCATGCAGCCCGGCGGCGGCTACCGCGACGCCGGCGCCCTGGTGCAGGCGGACTACGCGCTGCAGAGCAACGGGCACCCGCTGAGCCACGCTCACCAGTGGATCGCGGCGCTGTCCCACGGCGGCCCCGGCGGTGGCGGCGGCGGCGGCGGCGGCGGGGCGGCGGCGGCGGCGGCGGCGGAGAGGCGCCCTGGTCGGCGGGCGCGCTGGGCCAGCCCGACATCAAGCCGGCGGTGGTGCAGGCGGGCGGGCGCGGCGACGATGCCGCCGCCGCCGCAGCACCCGCCGCCGGGGCGGGCGCCGCACCTGGTGCACCACGGCGGCGGCGGCGGAGGGCACCACGCGGCGGCGGCGGCGGCGGCGGCGGCGGCGGCGTGGCGGGCGGGCGGCGCGGCGCACCTGCCGCCCGGCATGGCCGCGGCCAACGGCGCGCAGGCGGGGCTGCTCTACTCGCAGCCGCCCGGCTTCACCGTCAACGGGATGCTCGGCGCCGGGCAGCCCGGGCTGCACCACCACGGCCTGCGCGACGCCCACGAGGAGCCGCCGCCGGGGCCGCCGCACCACGGCCCCGAGCACCCGCCGCCGCCCCACGGCCCCCATCCCGGGGCGGCCGGGCCGGCGCCGTCCGCCGCCGCCGCCGCGCCCCCCGGGCCGCCGCCACACCACGACCCGCACTCGGACGAGGACACGCCGACCTCCGACGACCTGGAGCAGTTCGCCAAGCAGTTCAAGCAGCGGCGCATCAAACTGGGATTTACCCAAGCGGACGTGGGGCTGGCGCTGGGCACCCTCTACGGCAACGTCTTCTCGCAGACCACCATCTGCCGCTTCGAGGCCCTGCAGCTCAGCTTCAAGAACATGTGCAAGCTGAAGCCTTTGTTGAACAAGTGGTTGGAGGAAGCGGACTCCTCCTCGGGCAGCCCCACCAGCATAGACAAGATCGCGGCGCAGGGCCGCAAGCGGAAAAAGCGCACCTCCATCGAGGTGAGCGTCAAGGGCGCGCTGGAGAGCCACTTCCTCAAGTGCCCCAAGCCCTCCGCCCAGGAGATCACCTCGCTCGCGGACAGCCTACAGCTGGAGAAGGAGGTGGTGAGAGTGTGGTTTTGTAACAGGAGACAGAAAGAGAAGCGCATGACTCCCCCGGGAGGGACGCTGCCGGGCGCCGAGGACGTGTACGGGGCCAGCAGGGACACACCGCCGCACCACGGGGTGCAGACCCCCGTGCAGTGAACTCGCGGCGGGGGCGCCCGGCCCCTCCTCCTCCTCCTCCTCCTCCTCCTCTTCTCCTCCTCCTCCTCTCCTTCCCCCAACTTTTGATTGTCCTCCTTTTTTTTGTTTGTTTGTTTTTCTTTTTTTAATTATTTTATTTTCTCCTATCTTTAAAAAAGACAAAAAATCAAAAAAAAAACCCAAACAAATAACGCGAAAAAAGAGAAAAGAAAACAAAAAGCGAGCGAGCGAGAGGGCGAGCGCCAATCACAGTGGACAGACAGACAGACAGACAGACAAAGCACCTGCACCACACTGTCCCCTTAGACGGTAGCAGGTGCGATGCTGTATTTTGACCTTTCCAGACGAGTGCCCGTGCACCGGAGTGGAGTGAGTACCGCGCACGGGCAGGCAGGCGGGCACCGGCAGGGCAGCGGCAGGTACAGGCAGGGCAGGGGCAGGCACCGGCAGGGCAGGCGCAAGGCGAAGCGGTTCGCACAAAACTCTCGCTTGCTGGCAAAAACATACGGCGCTGCCCTACCGGGGAGGGGCGAAGGGGAAGGGGGTATGCAGCCACCTCGGGTCCCCTCTGCAGCCCCCTTCCGCCACACAAAGGCAGACTGCATTGTGGAATGTCGCTCGGTGTTGGCACATGCTGCTGTGTTTATTTTCTGTGGATCCCCTATATGAATATATGGGAAAAAAAAAAAAAAAGGAAGAGAACTGAAAAGCTATCCCTTTTGATGTAGACAGTATTTAACCTTACCAATTTGCACTGCAAGAAAATCGAAGTTTACATAAACAAACTCTTTATTTTTTCTTTTTTTCCCCTTCCTTTCCGACCTTAATTTTGCAAATGACTTGCATTTTCCACGGTGAGCGTTAGTCAACCAGTGACCAATCTACGATATGTTAATGTGTTTTAGCCTTTGCTTTATGTGTATATGTGAACTTTTGTTATAAACAAGTCTTCTTAAATACGTGTAACGCTTATTTTCTCCTTTTACTGAAGCAAAAAGAATTAGTGTATGTGTATGTATGTATGCATATGCATGTGTGCGTAGACTTACATATATACACATACATATAATTTCTATATATACACATATATTTGCACCTCAGCTTCTGTTCTCCAGAGACGTGACTCTCGTAATTGCTTAATATATGCCTTCAATGGCAAGAGTAGAGTTTGGAGAAGGGAGAATAAATGCAAATCAACAAAGTAAACTTCATTTTCAGGCAGTGTGTCCAGGGGCCGAGGCGCAGCCAGAAGGGAGTAAAAAAAATATGTGCAATCCTTCCAGATTGTGCCAGTGTGGATGATCAAGGCCCGGTGTGGGGAAGGTGGAGAGGGAACTACATGTTTCCAGGGTTTTCCCGGAGAAAGTAGCACTTCCTTGAGAGGGAAAGGGGATTATTTCTTTTCCCCATCACCACCCCCTCAGCGCCCTTTCCTTCCCCTCCTCCCCCCGCAGCTCCCTTGCGTGCGTGCCTTTGGCATCCCCAGTCTCACAGCCCGGGCAACCTGGGCTTATATCAGCCTACAAACTTTCTTTCATTGAGCAGTTTCGCATTAAGACAGAGCCAGGGAGAACCTGAGGAGCTGCTGGGCCTGAGGTGGGGGTCGGGTGCTTACAACTGCCTGTAAACACACGCTGCCCCCTCCTCTCCGCAGAGACCGTGTGCATTTCTTTCCCACTTTTAATTTTCGTATTTATTTTATTTTATTTTCTATTTGTATCCAGCCCCTCTCCCTCCCCATCCTCCCCTTGTCCTTTGGTCAGATTGTGGTATAATTTATTGAAGGAAAGGACCAGTTATAACTTGGGCAGCCTTGTGTCTTTCACTGGGGAATGAAATGAAGTGGGGAAAAAAAATGCCATTTTTCAATCCGTGTTTTTTTCCACCCTTTTGTTAATAGTTTTAAAGTGCATTTCGTGACATTATCTTGTTGGGAAATGGTTAACTTCCCCCCCAAAAAAAGAGAAAAACCCACGGGGACAAAAGGAAAAAAAAAAAAGAAAAAAAAAGGAAAACAAAAAGCTCTGAAGGGAAGCGGGACCTTGGAGCAGCGCATGTATGTGCGTGTGTCTGCGTGCGTGTTTGTGTACTTATGCACACACACAGCTATGCATATACATTAGAGGAACTTTAAACTATGATAGTTATAAATTCATAAAGGGATCGTTTAGTCAGCACAAATGGGTGCTATAGAGACAAAGCATTTTTATAATCTAAAAGTTTACTTAGTTGAGTGTTGGAAATTATGGAGAAAAAACAGTGAAGCATTCTTTCGCAGAACTCTCCTATAAATATTGCATTCAGTAGCTAAGGCTTTAGAATATGTTTCTCATTGTCTTTTAAAACGCCTGTGACATTGGGTTTTCTTTCCTTCTTTCTTTCTCTCTTTCTTGCTTTCTTTCTCTTTTTCTTCTTGGTAAGACAGATGATGATTTCTAAGAGGCACACATGCATTAGCCTTTTTCCTGGTTTTCCAACAATTGTTACAAAGATACGGGCACCAAGCTTTTCTCTTTTCTTTCTTTCTTTCTTTTTTTTTTTGTTTTGTTTTGGGTTTTGTGGTTTTTTTGTTGTTGTTGTTGAGCTGCTTGTTATTTAAAGTGTTGAGGACTAGCGCCTAGTGAAGTGAATCAGATCAGGGCAGATCCAGTGGTAAAGGGAGGAAATGAACTTTCAGACACTTATTAATACGTGCGTAAGGTCAGAAAACGGAGTCAAGAGGATGTTTGAAAAAGCCTCAAACTCCAAATAGGTTTACTAAAAAAAAGTTACCACGCAAACCTTACCACTATGTATATATGTTTAATATTTGTCCTTTGAAATGCAGAAATAGTTTCAATGTTTTCTTTGTCTATTTTTCTTTTTTTTTAAATGCTACCCAGGGAAATATTTTCATATCATTTTTAAGTGGCCTGCCTCAATGTATATTTATTTCTTTTAAAGCAAACAGGTTCTGGAAACTGTTTTTCTGTAGCTTTAAATGAGTAGGTGAACAAAATCTATATGGGATGTAATTTTTTTTGGTTCAGTCTCTTTAAAAATACTTTGTTTTGGTACATTTGGATGTGCTTGTGGGGAAAAATAAAAACGCAGAGATCCTTATATATTTATGTTAAAGTAATATTTTATTATCTACATAAAACAGAAATGCACAATACCTTCATAGTTTCTTCTAATTATTGAAATATCGTTATTTTATTTTTAAAGATAGCATAGATTTGCATAGTTCTTAAGATTTGGAGGGAGAAGACCGCAGTACTTATACTGAGTTGAGTTCTGTGTAAAAGCACCGCCATTCCTTTATATTTCATGGAATTTTTGGAATAAATTTGATGCCTGTACTGAGAGGTTCCATGCTCATAACTTTCAGGGTCTAGAAGGAGAGCCTCGGGAGCTGTGTTCATTGTGTCTCTCCGCAGATGAACCTCAACCGTGTGTTTTGGAGCATTGATTTCTGTGCGAGTAGGGGTGTCCTGCCTTTGATGCTGGTGGGGAGATCTGCTCCTCAAGTTGGTTGCATATTCTGGCGGAAGGCATGGGGGAGAAAAGACTAGATTCTTTTCGGTCTCCTTGATAATTTAAGGTCTAACTCCTTAAAAAAAAAAAAAAAAAAAAAAAAAAAGAGAGAGAGAGAAAGAAAAAGAAAAAAAGGAGAGAGAAAAAGAAAAAAGAAAAACAAAAAGGCGGGGCTTAATGATGGTAGTACCATTTGCAGGAGGAAGAATGCGGCTGCCCAGCGGGGCTGCGCACCCCCGGGCCGAGCTGGGCCCCGGCCCCCGAGGCGACGGCCCCGAGGCGACAGGGCCGGGACTCTCACGTTATGGGCGGCTGCGGCTCCGTGTGTGTAACGACCCGGTCGGTTTTTCCCGGAGGGGTCCCAGCTGGACACCCGCGGGACTTGCGCGCTGGCAAGTGACATCCAACAGGGCAGTGTTCGCATACGCGGTGGAGTGTTCAGGTCCTTTTTGGCTGGCTCAGTTTCCTAAGTGCGATATCCTGCTCTTCTCCTCCCCCCCGTTCACGATAGTTTCTAGGCTTATTAGATTTAATCATCTTTTCTAACTTCTAGTCAATATTACACTCATCCTGAACAGATTCAGCTAAATGATCTTATCAATAGTTTCGAAGAGAAGTGACAGAAAGAAGAAGTGTTTTGTGACCGCAGACGTGCTGACGGGTAAAATGTTGAAGCCGGGTATGGATTTAAAAGTCCTTGGTCAATAGCCCGCGGAACGGTCTGCGGAAAGCGAGCAGCCTCTGCCCTCTGCAGGACACTCGGGTGGGCGCCCAGGGAATATTTCGCCTTTGACGACAGGGGCCCGCTATCGGGGAGCGCTCCGGTGTCGGGTGGACAGGAGGTGACTTGGATGGATGGTGATGGCCGGCGAGAGCCGGTGGCGGGACGGCGTGACCGGCCGCTGCTTGGGGCCGAGCCGCTCCCGGCGGGGGCCCCCGGGCTGCTCCTCCGGGGCTCTTTGCCCAGCGAGGGGTTGACCTTATGGGAGCGAGTTCTCTCGCCCTTCTGGACTGGTCGTGGGGAGGTCGGCCGATGCGGGGAGTCATTATTCCTGTTTCCTTCAGTCTCTCTTTTAAGGGAAAGGAGGTGGAAATGGAGCAGCCATAGGATGCTCCTTCTGCAGGTGGATGTCAGGGTTCGCGGTCGCTTCCCGGACTCCCCTGCTCTCATTCCCATCAGGGACACTCTGTCATAGGTCAGATGTCAACAACAAAAGCCCTACTTCCTCGGCTCACGCTCTCTTGTGGAGGCCGAAACTGTAGGGCGGAAGGAGACTGTGTATTCCCAAACATTTTAGTTGTGATTGCCTCTCCCCCTTGTCCCGGGCTCCGCAGGGACGAGAGGCAGTGGTTGGTGCTGCCCTGCCCGCTCCCGCCGCCTCCCAGCCCCGCCGTCTTTCCCGAGGGTGAGCAATGGGGGCCGAGGTTTGAAAAGAGAGAAGCAGGAGAAGGGGAAATAATGTGGCAAATCCCCCGGGCTGCGGGGCAGGCCGGGGTGGTGTCTAATCAGGCGATGTTCTCGGGCTGGACAGCTTGTGAGAGCCCCGGCGGGGGCAGAGGCCCCAGTTGGCCTCGGCTCCGCCCCGTCGTCTCTTTCTCTCTCTCTTTCTCCCTCGGGCTTTGTTGACGACAGTTCGGGGTCCCCGCAGCGACCCCTTCTCCAGTTCCCGGTCCTCCGAGCGAGCTTCTGGCCCGCACCGGGCCTTGGGGGTGCGGCGGAGCTGGCCCGGCTGCCTACACCTTCCCGGCCTCCGCCCCGCCTTGGACCCGACCCCAGCCTGGGACTGTCCCCCCTTCCGGCTGATTCAGTGGGGGAAAACCCCGTCCCGCGGCTGCCTACCCTTGTCTGCCGGGCGGCCCCAGGCCCCGGGGTTGTCCCAAGCCTCGCTGTTAGAGGTTAGGTGGCTCTTTGTTGTGGTGCCGTCGGCGTCGGGGGAAGAGGACGGGTGACCCTCCCTGGGAAGGGAGGCGACGGCCTCCGGTGGGCGATGAGGCGGGGGGACGGTGGGGAGAGCAGTCACCGGCGGGTGGGCGCTCTGGGTTTAGTCTGACTTAAACCTCTGGGCTTAGGTACAGCAGTGGGACAGGGTGGCAGGCACGGGAGGTCCCTCCAGCTGGAGCCCGGGCAGCGCCTTGCGGGGCAGGCAGGGGTTGGGGGTAAGGAAAGAAACTGCCCGCGGCTTCTTGGCTGTGGACGGGGCAGCGGCGGCCTTCTGCTGCCTCCAGAACGGAGGCTGGGCGTTGGGGTCTGTCTTGGGAATCGCGGCTCTTCCGCCTCCCCTGCTTCTGCCGGGGGGGTCTATTTATTGTGCTTTTCGGAAGGGTCAGGGCCTGGGCTGCCTCTCCGTCTTTTATCTTGAGACGGAAAAGATAAAAAGCGAATTTTCAGAGTTGCAGACGTTAAGTTGGCAATCTGTGCTCGGAGCATGGCCGGCTTGCCGTCGGGGATGTAGGAAGATGTTCCGCAAAGGGAGTTTCCTCCTGTCTCGGACAGGCAATGCTGGGAAAATTAGGCTCTGGGGAAAATTAGTTTGAGCAAACCCAAAGAGTGCTGTAGCGGAAATGGTAAAACAAAAAGCAAGAACTCTTCCTCAGACGCGACTTCTCATCAAATCATAAACCAAACAAATGGGCTTTTCGGATGGCGAGTCCCAGCTACAGCGAGTGGATTCTCATGCCGCAGCCGGTCTCAACCCGTGGCCTGACCCGCGCTGTGGGTCTCTTCCCTCGAACCGCATATCCCTCTCTGCAAACTCCCTGTAAATACCTCCGAAATTCGGCCAAGTGTCCCGAATATACCGGGGTTTCACACAGGGCCCGCGGGGCCGGGGAGGCCGCCTGTGCCAGCGCGGAGCCCCTTTCCCTCGCAAGCCCTTTCCCCGCAGCGGCCCACCGCCCGCACCAGAGCCGAGCCTGTCTGCGGGACGCAGGCGTCGGATCCTGCCCTCCCGTCGGTGGGCAAGGAGAAGCATGAGGCGAGGGCAGCAGCGAAGGAGCGGCCGAAACTCTGCCGGCGCTGCCAGGAGGGGCGGTGGGCGGGCGCTGAGCCCCTGCCCAGGGTCTGGGTGGTTGGAGAGTTGGCGCCGGGTTCCCTTCACCCCGGGGAGGTGCCGTGTTGGCCGGTGTCTGCCTGGCCCCGTCCGGGGCAGGAGGTCTGCCTCCCTCAGCGAGTGGGGGTGCAGGGCGTGCGGGCCGGCCGGGGGGCCCATCGCTCCCACGGCGGGGCCGGGGTGGTGCGGGCCGTCCCGGCGCGGGGCTCCAGCTCGCCGGCTGCAGCTCTCCCGGCGGCCTTGCAACGTCTCGCCCTGCCGGGCTGAGCTGT